CGGGGCTGGAAAGGGGCCGGTGGGGTGATGACCTCACAGGGGCCGGCCAGAAAATTCCAGACGGAGCAGGTAGGAGGGCGTTCCCGGGGAAGGTCCAACGGGCAGTTAGGCCAGGTATTAAGTTTTGGTTTGGGGCCGTGGGCTTAGCCCGAGTGACTCCATCTTGAGCTGTGGCTCCTTTCCAACAGTCCTACAACAGGCGCTTCTCAGCGAGGGACTTCGGGGAGGCCGGGCTTCGTGATGCTACTCGGGACAGCACGAGTGATCACGGAGCCACAGCGGGCCCAAAGAATTCAGAGGACAAGGCGTCTGTCCTCCGAGGCAGACGTGCAAGGCTCAGGGACAGCGCCACCCCCCAGGGACAGGCTGCACAGGACACCAAGAGTGTGTCCAGGAACGTGCAGGTGAGTTCGTAGCTTGATGACACCTGTCGCAGGTGAGAGATGCCACCAGGGGACAGGAAGACATCTGTGGGGAGGCCATTCTCTTTGCCACGTTTGGCTGAGGCTCCGACAGGGACGCAGAACCACGTCAGGGATTCAGAGGCCGTGAGAGAGGGAGCCTGGTGGCCGCAGAGCCGCAGCGGGCGGCAGGGACAGCCTCCCCGGGACGAGCTTACTGACCGGCTACCAGCTGGGTTAGAAACTGCAGGAGGTCAACAGCAAAACGTTTTGCTTTACACATCATATCGGCAGATTTTTGACACTCAACAGGTTCAGTTTTGGGGTTTATTTTTTTAGTATATTTTTATTGATTTGAAAGAGAGAAGGAGACCGAGAGAGAGACAGAAACATCGATGAGAGAGACACATCGACTGGCTGCCTCCTGCAGGCCCCTCTCCGGGGATCGAGCCTGAAACCTGGGCATGTGCCCTGCCCGGGAATCGAACTGTGACCTCCTGGTGCACGGGTCAGACCACGCTCAACCACTGAGCCACGCTGGCCGGGCAACAGGTCCAGTTTTCATGGTCTGAAGGAATGACGGGCTGGGGGTGCAGAGCAGTGAAGGAGGCTGTAGATTCCAGAGCAGAGGTGTTAGAGGGGAGTGACTGTGAAAGGAGGTCTCTCTGATACTGAAACACGGGCATACCTCGTTTCACTGAGCCTCGGCTGGTTTACAGATTGAAGGTTGCTGGCAGCCCCGGGTGGAGTAAGCCGACGGGCCCCATTATTCCAATAGCGTTTGCTCCCTTTCAGCCTCGGTGCCACAGTTTGGTAATTCTCACAACAGTTCAAGCTTTCTCATTACTATTATATTTGTTATGTGATCTCTGATCAGTGATCTCTGCTGCCGTTACTGTAATTGTTTCGGGGCACCGCGAACCGCACCCGTAAAGGGTGGCGAACCTAATGGATAAATGCTGCGTGTGCTCTGACTGCCCCACCCACTGGCCGTTCCCTGCGTCGCTGTCTCTCTCCCTTTGCTGGGGCCTCCCTGTTCCCCAGACACAACAATAGTGTAATTAGGGTGACTGATCACCTACAACGGCCTCTAAGTGTTCAAGCCCAAGGAAGAGTCAGCCGTCTCTCACTTTGAGCAGTGGCTGGAGCTGGGGCTTTCTCCAGGTCACTTTTAAACTACACCCCTATCTTCATGAACCACCCTGGGGGCGTTAGTGGCTTCCTTCAGGGTTAGATATCACACAGTCCCCACACAGCCATGCAAGGGCGAGGACCGCCAGGCTTTCTGGCCCCCGGGCCACCTCCACCCACAGCAGCCTTCAGGGCTGAAGAGCAGTCAGCTCCAGTCAACAGCAATCTGCTTAGTTTCTAAATAAGTTTACGGAACCGACTGGTTAGGTGAATGTGAGTTTCTGGCTCCAGCGGCGCCTCCCTACCTGCCCTGGGATTTGAAGTCCTTGGATGGAGGTGACCAGGGGAGGGCTGTGCCATGGAGGCAACAGGTCTGAGTTCAAATCCTGGCCCCACTGATGACTCGTGACCGGGCAGACACTACCCTGCAGCTCCAGGTCTCTGTACTTTTATCAGCAAAGCTAGGACATTGACCAATAATATTCACTAACATCTAATAACGACTTACTCTAAGAGCTGGACTGGCCTCATGTTATCTCATCTAACCCTCCTAACAGTTCACTTACAAGGGCCGTTAGCTAAGTTGCTCAAGTAAGTGTCAGTGCAAAAATGTGAACCTCAGACCTCAGCTGCCGGGCTCCAGAATCCCTGCTCCCTGGAGAGGTGGCTGTGACCAAAAAAGTATCTCCCGGGAAATCCTGAGTCAACAGCTGTGTGGGGCCTAGGAATCTGATCTTTAAGAAGTATATCAGGGGTACCCAATGATTGGTTAAGTTTGGCAAACACTATGTTTGAAAGAATATAAAAATTATAAATAAGTCATAACCAAATGCCCTAGCAGTTAAGGGAAGATTCTTACCTTAGGGACGATATACCTATTTAGGTGACACCACGGCCATTCACGCTGGCGGCCAGGCCTATTCTTCCTGGCTGGTTCCTGCCCTGTGGCCCGGAGCCCCGAGTGCCTCCTACCCTGACAACCCAAAGGGTCAGAACTGGACCCCAACCTTGGGAGTCTGGATTGCTGTCCTGATTCTGTCCCTTCCTGCCTAGGCATGTCCCTGGGCGAGTCACTTCCCCTCTCTGAGCCTCAGTTTTCCCATCTGTGAGATGGAGGTCAGAGTTGGCTCACGCAGCTGGTAGGGTTCGCCAGCTGCGATGTACACGAGGGCTGTTTATGAACCTTGGCCAGCTGTGAACTGCAGAGGCAGGATCATCACTAACAGGCCAGGTCTCCAGGAGCGGGAGCTTTCGTCCTCAGTGGCTGAAGTCCAGCCCATCAGTGCAGTGGCTGGGGCGGGGGTGCGGTGAGGGAGGAATGGAACGGAGCTTCCCTGCCTGAGCAAGTCGAAAGGTGATCAGGAATGTCTAAGAAAAAGAACTTTTCCCTAAGATGAACTTCATTCCAAACTTTTAGCTACATGCAAGGAAACTGCTTCACTGCTGGAAAAAAAAAAAAGAATTTTCCAAAATTTCACAGAAAATAAGTTAGCAGGGAATGTGCTTTATCAGGGACTTAGTAACAAAGACCTTTAACCCTGGCTAAAGATTAACAATGACCATTAAGGCATTAAACTGGAAACTCGGTTAAAACAGCCACGGCCTGAAAGAGCTAAGAAAAAGCCTGGGTGCCCTGGTTTACCTAGTTAGGGCAGGCAGGTGGGGAGCACTGTCTAGGTCACTGTAGCAGGGACGTGACTGAGTGCCCCTTACATGCAGGCCCTGGGCTTGCCCTGCATTGTTAGATTGCTAAGTCCTTGCTCCAGCCCTTTATGAAACTTCCCCGTTTTGTAGTTACTCAGAGAAGCCAAGTTCCACGCCCCACATGACACAGCCTGGAGGTGGCCGCTCTGCCCGTCTCTGTACCGCACTCCTGACCCCCCGGGGTGTGTCTCCCGGGTGATGTGTCTGCCAAGGAGCCTGGACAGCAAATCTCCTGACTTGTTGGCTTTGGGCAGCTGACCCGCAGGCCGCATTCCTTCCTTGTGGGCGTGGCCTCACCGAGGCTGACTCTAGGCCAGGGAGCTGGGCCGCGAGCAAAGTCTCACACTCTCTCGGGGCGATCACACTCAGCACTGGCTTGCACACCCACCCGTTCCCGGGAGAGGTCTGCGTGGCGAGGTGGGTCCGGTCTCGAATCGGGAAGGCAGGGAGAATTACTGCCTTCCGCCTGCCTCCCCCCACTTCCTACCC